CGTGCCTCGGGCTGCAACCGCAACACTAGTCCAGCCACGAAAGTTTATTGGATGAGTAATACCGCCTTTATTTAATAGGGGAGAAACAGGGAAAATACCCCTCAATTAATCACTCCCCGGTGACTCTAAATCATATCCTAAACGATTTTCTTTACCCGGTATGGAGAAGTATTTATATGAGATTTTGAAACATTTTAAAATATATATCGTAATTTGGTTAATTTATAAACATGTTTATCAGAAAGCTTTTATTTGGATTTTATAGTATTATATATGAAATTATTTTCACCAGAACTACACTTACGGTCTCATAGAATCCTGGAGTCCATACTCATTATTAGGCGTGGTAGATGACTGTGAACATCACGGGATGATCAGTGCCTGTGCTGTCATCATCTTGCTGTTGTACTGTCTTTGTTGCTTTTACAGTTCTGTTCCTGCCTGTAGGCGCATGTGTAGTAGTTTCTGCATATATGTGTAATTGATTTAGTGATCTATTATAGATTTGCAGTATTATTAGGTTTCTGCACAAGCACATGATTTAGTGATTAGTTTTTTTTTTCATGTGAACTTCATTCGCTGCTAACTTAGTAACGAGTGAGCGTATAATAAGAGTCCAAGATCTGGTCTTGATATTATTCGTCACATGCATATGATGTTGTGTTGATTCCTTTCTTTATGATGAACCTTGTTAATTCATCGATAATGATATCGCCACAGGTGTCCGTCCTGTCTAGACAGACCGCTTCGCGTGCTTCGCCCGTGCGCTGAGCAATTGCTCGCCCTACCATGCTCTTATCCACCTCGCCTGTCACGAGAGGAGGGAGGTGGGCGTCAACAGACTCCCCCATCCACCTCACGCCCGTCGGCAGGAAGGTAGGCCGTGATCACCGGGCGACATGTTGTGTTTTCATGTGTTTTAGGCGCTTGCATGACATGTTGCAAGCCTATGTTTCAAGTGTTCCGATGTGTTTGCACTTCATTTCATCCGATGTTGCATATGTTGCTATGGCTATACATGTATGTTTCAAGTGTGTGTTTTAAATGTTTCATATGTTTTTCGACTTATGTTGCAAATGTTTCATCTAGATGTTGCAAAAGTAGATCCAGATATTGCATATGTTGCTATGGCTACACGCATGTTTTAAGACCATGTTTCAAGTGTTTCATCACATTTTTCGAACTGATACGTTGCAAAGTGTTTTATCGGATGTTGTATATGTTGCAAGTGTATGTTCTGAATGTTTTATCGGTTTCGGAGACGTAAGTTGCAATTGTTTCATTTGAGTATGTCGCAAAGCTAATCTGGATGTAGGTTTGGAGGAAGCCTAAGTGGAGGCCGTGTACATGAGAGCGGGCGGGATCGGATGCCGCAATGGATCGGTCGGGATGTGGAGCGGGATGGGGCGGGCGCGCATTGGGTGGGATGGGACATGGGTCTCCATGCTGCGTGTGTTAGGCGCAGGGAGCTGGAAGCTCCGTCCGGACCGATGATGCCTCCGGAGCAAGGATGGGCGCGGCGAGGCGTCGTCGGGCGCTGGGCATGCATTGGGCGCAGGTCTAGTCATCATCGGGCGCAGGCGCAGGGAGCAGCTAGCGCGTCCATACAGAGGTTGGCGTCCGGACGTCCGGCCCTAGTCCCTCCTTAATTCATACATCCTCAGGTGTGTTTAAAGAGAAAGAAATCAAGAGTCCCAGAAGTACACCACCAAGGAGAGCTAGATGTCCTTCAATTAAGAAGGAAAAATATACCTTGGGTGTTTTGATTTGTTGATGTGCTTCTGCCCGTATTTCTCCACTGCCGTCCATCATAGTGTGGAACGGCGTTTCAAAGTGACATCGACTCAACAAATCTCCTGCTCGAAAAAGTAAATTTGTTTGCAAATAAAAGAATCAAAATCAATAGAAAGCTTAATCCCATGCTCACATAATTAATACATATACAGAAGCATTATAAACAAAAAAAAGCAGTAGTTTTACTCATCAATTGATGTTGGAAAATGCATGCATACCCTCTCTTGAGCTGCTGATGACGTGGCTTAACAACATCATCCTCCTTGCTGACACCCTCCTCCTTCCTGATGCAGTCATCAGAGATACTCCTCTTCACTCTCTTCTTGTCATCAACCAGCACATCATCTGGTTGAGCATCATCATCAGACTGATGACGCTGCAGCTCGGCCATGGCCTTGCTGGAGCAATCCAGTATGCTCTGGAACATCTGGGCAACAAGCTCGTAGCGTTCGTCCGCCTGCTGCAGCGCAGGGAGGACGATGGCTCGCAGCTGTGTCACCAGAGACTGCTCCCTGGAGATCTCCTTCATCGCCGACCGGTGGTCGCAGTCGCAGGCAAGAGAGTGGCGACCAGAAGCTGAAGATTGAGGAAGACATCTGCAGTTGTCATGGTGGTAGTGGTGGTGCTTCATCTCTGCTAATTTCATTCTAGCTCAGCTCGATCTGGTATTCTGGTATCTGAACTGCAGCTTGTTCTGTAAACTTCAGGTTCCTTCAATCCCTTGTGTGTGCAGCTTTCGGAGGAAGAATGAAGGAAGATTAAGTGATAAGTTACTCCTAATCGGCTGTACTTATATATGGAGATGGCAACATAATTAACAACCAACTTGGGCAGAATAAATTAAATTCGGCTGTGCCTGCCTGCATGCGTAGGCAAGAGCGGAGTAGCGCATGGAGATGGACAGGAAGGACTTTGACTTGGCAGCTACCACGCACGATTACGAGATGAGTATGCAATTAATTAGATGCTACGTACAGTCCTTGTCAATGGCACTCCTGGCACTTGGATTGGCTAATTTCGTCGTAGTCAAGTCGTTTGTGTTCCACCAGCTATTGCCTTCTCCCAAAACAAACAAGCCTGGTCAGTAAGCAGTCGCCTGCTCAGTTCTCACCTGACCTTTATTTTCACCTTTACTGTTCTGTCCTCAAATGTCATTCTCAGTCCCTTGGAATCAAAAGAACAAGTGCTCGCTGGGGCATTGATCTGAGGGTGTTTCTCCTTAAGAGCTAGTTTGAATAAGCAGGAATTGTTCATCTTAACTTCTGACCAGAAAAGTCCATTGTCTATAAGGGTGTTCTTTTTTGCATCCAAGTTCAAATATGAAATGAACCACAAATAATTGCATCCATCTCAGCACTATCTGCATACTCTGCATACTAGATGTAGGAAGACTAGCTAGAACTGGTTTCATGTAGATGGTTGTTATAAAAAAAATGCAGATGGGTGTATAGAGTACATTGCTTGAGCATCTTGGCTGGTTATATATAGAGTACATTGCTTAGAGGGCAAGTAGCTTATCCTAGATAAGGCAGGTGTCCTCGGACTAAAATCAATCATAATCTACCGTATATGGAGAAGGGGAACTAACATAGGAATATCCAAATATACTCTAACACTAGATATTCAAAATATTCACATGCGACATATTAAGAGCTAATCATTCTGCTCATCATGTTTGACAGAAGCAGACTCATGTCAGCACAGAGTCGTCAGTCGTCACCCACTCGCCCTCCTAAGCATCATTTCGTGTAAGCTCAAAAGTTCCTCTAAATTTCACTGGTGCTATTTGTAGAAATGCTCGTTGGTCCACATTGTTGGCGACGTATTAACAATTCACTAATGGTTTATTCCATAGTGTATTACTTGTTCCAAGAGCACTGAATTCTTAATTGTAGTCAACAATGAGACATAATTTTCCAAATCATATTGTTCGTTTGTGCCGACCACATACATAGGGCTAGCTTTTGACATTATTTTCCATGAAACAGATCGAAGACCGAGATGACAAGGTGAAGTTGTTATTGTGATGATGAGTGATTATCAAGCAAGATGAAATCCTTTCAATTGAGTTGTTCTTGGTTATGACGAACAGGAGGAGGCCAAGTGGTGGCGCTGCACCGCGTGTCTTTAATTTGGGTGTGTGTATATATATGTGTGTTGAAAACCTCTCGTCCATGACGAGGAGAAGATCAAGCAGTGGTTCATGCCCACATGTAACACTGGCGGTGAAGGGCGGACAAAAACATCAACAACATTTCCATTCATAACAAAAATAGCATGTTCGAAGCGAATTCCCACTTTCTTTTCCCCATTACGTCAAAGCAAGTTTTATACAGTAGTCAATAGCCATAGTAAGAAGATTGAGTCGACGCAAACATCGCTTCATTGTTTCCTCGCATGCATTTGCTAGGTGATGATTAAACCACGACTTATTTCTCCAACAAAATACAAGATGTACTATGCAGCTAACAACAGAACATCGAAGATTGCAAAAATATATCAGACATTCAGACTCAGACGGACGGAACAATAATCGTCCCTTCTCCTTCCCTACTGACAGCCTGCGCGGGGAGCTGCAGATCAGTGCCAGCAGCGGGCGGCGGGTCCTGCAGTCGAAGCCGGCGCCACCTCCCCCTGCTGCAGGCTCGGTGTGGTCGGAGGGGAGGCGGCAGCGGCAGATGGGGCAGGAGTTGTGCACCTCCAGCCACGGCACGATGCAGGAGGAGTGGTAGAGGTGGCCGCACGGGGGCCTCCGCGCGGCGGCCGCGAAGGGAGGTCTTTCTTGCAGATGGCGCAGACCGCGCCGGGCTCCGACACCTCCACCGTGGGCAGAGCCTCGATGGACGCCGCCGGCGCCGGCGCCTCGCCGCCGCCGCTGCCGCCGAGGACGACCCAGGGCGCGAACAACGCGGGGCCGGTGGCATGGATATGATGATGGGACCACGACCACGACGACGCTGCCTTTCCTCCCCTCCGTAGGTTTGGTGGTGGATTTCGATGACGAGGTCGTCGTCAACATCGTCGTCCGAGGACGAGGACCGGTCAGTCGGCAGCAATAACTCCTGCGCCGGCGGAGGTGACGACGAGTCGGACATGGCCGGCCCTCTCGGTTTGCTCTCTCACTTTCTTGGGGCCTCCGGCCGCCTTGTGGGCATCATTTATCTTTGTTGTGCACTCGTGCAAGGGAGCGCCTGCTTGTTCTTGCTCTCGTCGTCACTCTCGTGTCGTCTGGCCTCTACGCGCAACCAGCGCCAAAAGTAGTTTCCAAATTTCCTTTTCAGCTTAATTAATCACTTAATTATTAGGAGCCTAATTGTTCATTGACGCAATCCTCTATCAATCGCCTGTTTTCAGATAAGGAAACCCTTTTCCCCGTACTCCCCGTCCGTGAATAAATAAATTATTAGAGTTGGCTTAAGTTAAACTTTTAAGTTTTGATCAAATTTATAGGTAAGCCTATCAAGATTTATGATATTAAATTAGTATTATTAGATATATTATATTAATATCGTTAGATATATTATAAAATATATTTTTATAATATGTTTATTTTATGTCTATATGTTGTTACTGTTCTCTATAAAGTTAGGCAAACCTAAGATTGTTTGACTTGCACGGATTACAAAAATTAATTTATTTAGAGATAGAGGGAGTAAAACATAGTTTCAGCCTCTGCAATGAGTCGATATACGTGGCCATAAAAAAGGTGCTTGGTAATCCACATCAGCTTGTAAGGGCACTCCTAATCCAGAAACCACCATAGTTTCTATGGATATTAATTATACTGTCACATAAGCGTTTTCCTGATGTGACGAGGTAGTTATTGAAGAGAAAGAGAGAGCAAAAATCATAGAAACCAGGTCTAAGTTAGAAACCATGTCTATATGAGAACCAAGACATTAAGGGATGTGATTGGTAAAGAATGGAGAGAGAATATATGTGATTGAATAAAAAATTGTTCTATAGAAACTATCCATTAGAACTATGGTTTCTATATGTAGTGTCTATGGTAATTAATAGATATAGAAACTATTTAGCATTGGGACTGTCCTAATCACCCTACACCTGGTATAATGACCATGTTTGGTAAGTTGTGGGGATAAGCACGACTTATTCCTAAGAAGCTACATAAATGTAAATACAGGTAATGAAAGCGGTGTCAAAATAAACATGTCATTTGGCTAGTTTCACCTTTTATTTTAGCCATAATTAGCTTATAAGTTGTTCCAAACAGACCCAATGATACATGAAACATAGTAATAAAACACAAAACAAGAGTATCAGGCCAACTTAAGTAGTACACGATCCTAAAATAGGCCTCATTGTTAGATATGTATATATTTAGGAGTCTAATTGTAAATGTACTGATGGCCTTGTCGCTATATATACGAAAATTTACCCCTCCCTAATGGATGTCAGGTGTTCTACTATCTCCTATCTTTCTACATGGTATCAGCCGCCTAGGTTCTCTTTTCTTCCTCTTCTGCGGTCCCTCTCTCCACCGCATCGACGACCCGATCAAGCGTCCTCTACTCTAATCTTTCTCCCGCCACGATTCCACACCATGCATCCACCTCACCTCGCGACGTCGTCTTCCACGATCTCTACTCTCCGTGCCGTCGTTCCTCACCACGCCTAACACCGATCTTCCTCTGCTTCCCTATAAGGCCACCTGCTCATAAGACGGTTGTCATCTCCTCCCGCGCGCCGTCTCCTCGCGCCACCCAGGCCCATGCGACTCTTTGCACGACCGCTCGCGCGCGCGTTCTCCCCTTTAGCCCGCGTGCTTTCCGCTTGCTCACATGCATCTCCGCCCGCGCCAGCGAGATCCTCTTCACGCATGACCCGTCCGCTCCTCCTTCAGCGTCACGCCTTTCAGTCAGGCGGATCACGGCGTGCATGTCCCCTGCTCTCCTCCATCCCTGCGCGCATCCTCCATCTAGCTGGACTGACCCACTCCACGCTCTTCAGCTCCCACTCACGCTGTCAGCCGCTCCTTCACGTCTCCGGCACTTGCGCTACCGCTTTGCCCTCCCCGTCCTCTCAGATGATCGTGTTTAACCACACGGCGCCTTCCCTCCGCTGCTCGAATCCTATGTGCGACCCGTTCCCAGCCACTCTTCGTCTTCTCCCACGTGCTGGCCTACGCACGCCTCTTCTGCATCGCGCGCTGCTGACTCCTTCCCAACCGCGCATCCCCCGTGAGCCACGCACATCCTTTGTTCTGCTCGCGTCCCACTTCCCCGCGCTCCCATGTTTGCTTCCCTCCTTCCTTTGCTCCACGTGTGCAATCTACTCACAGCATTCTCCGCTTTCTCTCCCATCTGCCTTCTCTGATCTTTAATGTCAACCACTCCTTCTACCTCTGGTCCTCTGCCTCCCAAAGAAGCTATGCACCCGACTGGGCGGCCACGGCATTCTTGGGCCAGCTTTGTAGACTCTTGCGACCTTCATGCCCACACAGGTTCATCATCCGCTGTGTACCCCACAACAGGTTGGCCCCCCATCGTTCGAAGCCTCTCCGGATGCTCACACTTGGGTGCTCGACACTGGTGCTACATTGCATATGTCCTCCTCGGATGGTATACTACTCACTCGTCTCCTCCCTCTTCTCCCTATATAATTGTGGGA